TTATCTTTTTTTATCTGTGTGTGAAGCCCCAGGGTTTCACATGCCTGAATACCTGGTGAAGAGGGGCTTAAAGACCTAGAGACGGCGGTCAAAACAGTGTGTGGTGCCTCTGAGGTCAGCCCCAGTACTGCTGTTTACAGTACAGATAGTTAGGCATGATTTTAGGGATCTTTTGCCAGTAAAAGACAAGCTTTTTAAAAATGATTTTAAAAAGCTCAACAATGTCATGGAATTGGTAGCTGTGGTTAGGAGGCTTGCTCAGTAGGGGCATCAGTGAGGCCTGTTGTATCTAGTTGTGCTCATACTAACGATCTTCGTGAGAGATATTGAAAACTTCCGCTTGGCAAGAAATTAATTTGTTCTGATTTTTTTCCAGACGCAAAGTGGTTCCACCGTAACCTTGAGTAGACTGGCCCATTTTCTGTTTGTCTTTAAGCGTTTGATTTTTGTTAACATTTTGATCAACGTTAATCAGTAAGCGTTAATATCTATATATGAGCCATGCAATATAAATTTGCATACATAGAATGACTTTTGGACAGGCACTCTGGCTTACAGTGGTTCTAAAATGGTCTTTGGGGATGTGAAATGTGAAAATTTCTTGTTTGAACGCCTGAAACCAGCTTTTTTGGTCTTCTCGTTTTCATTCAAGGAACCTTTTTATATTCCTGTCTTTCAGTGGCTTTCTGCTGTAACTTTGTAACTTTCTTCGCCCTCACAGCCTCACAACTATAGTAAAAAAATTTTTACTCATGGGCTTTTATGCAATATGGGTAGTCTCATTTTAATTCAGTCTTTCTCATTAACTTCATTGGTCACTAGATGTATTCCTGTTATCTTCTTGCTGTTAGTTTATGTCCTGAATACTATAGTCTTGGAGCTAAGGGAATTATGGCCCCTTTTGTTTTACTTCCCTTGAAAGTGCACCTAAGATGATCGTTTCTTATCTGTTACTAAGACAGCAGGAATGGAGACTGTCATTTGTTGGGCCAGATGTTCTGATGGCATTCTGTCTGCTAGGTCGACAGCTTGATTTGGAATTTTCTGTTTTCCTCCCACTGTAACTGCAAATAGTTTTGAAGGAATCTTGCAAATCTTCCTTTTATTTGAAGTATGTCCCTATATGCTTTGTACACTATTTTGTAGTTTTTATGTTTATAAATATATTCCTTAACTACAGTTTTAATGGAAGCTTATTCTACTAATCATCTATTGTGTCATTTAAGTTGGGCTGCCACTAACAACTATTTTTCTTTAGATTAATCTGTATACTATTTTACTGATTGGTCGATTTTAATCTCAATGGGTAATTTTTCTCCAGAAGATCAAATAGACTTTTTAATTTATTTTTATTGTTACAACAAACTCTTTATTGCAGGGCTTTAGATAATGGACACTTGCTTTTTGGTACTATATGGACATTATTTTCACCCACAATTCAATAATCAAATTAGTAGTATGTTTAAAATATTGAGATGCATATTGTGACACTCAAAAGTTAGTCATTTGTATAAATTTGGCTTATCCTTATGTTTATTAAATTCGGTTAGCGGGGCACATCACATACTACTTTAAGTCATGGAAGCGATAAGCACTGAAGTGGCAGTGAAGAAAGGGACAGATCAGCAGCCACAATATCTTTTAAAAGTGGAGAAATTGTGGAAAAGCAAGGTAAAAAGATGTTGGTGTGGAGCTTCTCTTTGCTGATTTAAATCTGACAATTTTTTTGCAAATATAGTTTTCATGTTTCTGTTCACAAATTATTTTCTTTTATTTAGTGTATGTTTTCGTTTCAGTTTTAGTTTGATAACACTGGTTCCGACAAGCCCAATGCGCACGAACACATACTGGCACTGTCAGTTTTTAGCCCAGGTTTTAGCCTAAACATTTTCTCAAACATTTATTCAGTGGAGATTCTAAGGTGGCAGGCAGACATTTTGTAGCTATAATGAGTGTATATAGCAGCTACAAGGACAAAAGATATTAAAAAGCTCTCCGTACTAATGGTAATTTGAATAAACATAAACAGACAACGTTTACAGTGGTTTTGCTTATTCTGGTGGTCCAGAGTAGCACCCGTGTGTTTTCTCTTCAGGCGCTGTAGCATAGCGCTAGTGGCCCTGTGGTATGCCATCGAACTTTGCACAGTGTAAAACTACCCATTTCCTTTGTGATAATTTGAACTACTCCCATAATTACATAGTGATATTAAAGAAAAACATTTGTTATAATGAAGTGAAGCGTTTTGGAAATAATAATGGTAATTTAATGAAAGAAAGAAAAAATGATGCATCAGTTTAAAATATTAATATCGACGCATTTTCAGTGTCTGCGCCATCGACCGTCAACTAATCGCGGCAGCCCGACATTTACGTAGAGTTCTTAGTTCTTTTTGAGGTGTGCATGAATAGTCATTTGATTTCCCTTCTGTTTGTTTTGCAGCAGACTAATCTGAAGGAGGCCGCCTGCAGAGATGTCTAAGGCACCAAAATCTCCCTCACACTCCCGCTCTCGGTCCGGCTCAAGGTCACGTTCCCGATCCTTCTCACGGTCACGCTCTCGAAGCCGCTCGAGATCACGGTCCCGGAAGCACCGCTACAGGTATTTACCGCCCCCCACACCCCATAATAAACTTATCACAAAAAAACTTTTGAAGTGTCATAGGCCTAAAGAGAAATGTGAAAAGCATAGAAGAGGAAGTTAAGCGGAGTCAATGCAGTAGATAACGGCATAAGTCTTTGTGGGTGTCACCTTTCATCATTCCTTATAAAGAAATTCAATATTTCTAATGAAAAAAGTAGGGAGAACTTCAGAAATGTGCAAATCCTTTACTTAAACTTTCAGTATGTTGATACCAAGAGATTTGAGTGTTGTTTTTAATCAATGTGCAGGTTTCCTGTTTACTTGTTAGGCTGTGTTAAGGTTGTTTTTGTCTTTGTTGTTTTTGAAAAGAAAATTGCCCATTCTGGTTGCTTATCTCTTTACTGGTCCCATCACATAATTGAAAAGTGACCACTTAAATTGTTTTCCACCTTTCCTCTGGGCGTATTTTCTTTCACATGAGAATTTGGATGAACAATTTTTTTTAATGCATTTATTTTATGAATTTATTTTATGACCATTTTTTTCTATCTTCTGAGGCATCAGCTGAAATGTTGACATTTTTTATTCGTTTTGAACTGAAGAGCATGACCCTGAAACCCACATTGAAATAAAACATAAATCAATTGTTACCACCCAGGCTTCCCAAACTGATGGATCCCAGAGCAGTCAGAGCTGGCCCTGGACAGAATTGAGGCACACAGACTTGTACATTTTTTTTTGCGTCTCTAATGCTTTTGCCCAACGTAACCTGCAGATGTTTCCGCCAAAACTTGAAGTGGCATATTTGTAGCTTTTGTAACTGCTGCCACATTACTATTCAGTTGCTGATAGATGTCTCATTGAAGTGTTTTTGAAAGAGAGAGAGAAGTAAACATGAGCGGTTCTCTCTGAGGTTGGCGGTTCACCCACTGGACGTTTACAAAAGGAGCGTCCTGCAGCTTGCACAAAACTCTGTTCAAGTCACGTATTCCAAAGTAACGTTGTGCTCAGTAGCTCCCTTTTGACGCCTCTTCGTCAGAGAGGCCATCTTGTTTAGTCGTGGAGGTTATGGACTCGCACTATATTTGGCCAGCCTATTTTTGCCGTGCCACTTGTCTGCAGAAAGCTATGAACACTCCACGTTCTATGTTACCCCAGCTTCAGGACTGGGGGGCTGAAACAAGATAAGGGCTACTAAGTGAGTCCTGACAGGCATTGTTCTGAAAGCCCTGCCAGGGTTCTCACCAGCTTGGTGGTAGGACTACATACTTATTCAAGCAGTCCTTCCCATTTAAACAGCATTGCCATGTTTAAGATGGGTTTCCTAGGGGAGCTCCTTTATTAATACCCACTATACTGAATAGCTAAGGGGAACAAGCTCAAAATATCTGAGTCACTGAGCTTAGTCAGCCAGTGTGTTCATTTTTTTCTCCCTCTCTCATGGCCTAAAGTTCTGCATGGTTATGGTTTTGGGTTTTTTTTGGACTGGTGCCACATCGGCGTCTTCTGAGTCCAGCTGGCCAGTTTGCCCACATAGACCAGTTTATCCTCCAGAGATCTTCTGAGACTGGAGATCTGGAGCTGCTTAAGTGAAGGAAATTGCTTTCGTTTCTGCTTGCTACCGTTCAATACCAGGTGTTCTGGACTTTTCTGTGCAGTCAGGTTCAGGTATGGAAAAATTCACACATTTTACCAGAGCTAATTTGGAAATGTGTCTAAATGCTCATTTTTGAGGGTAAATTCTGTGTGGTTCCTTCTCTTTGTGGTTTAACAGTATGCTTGTATTGTGGTATTACATTGATCTCGCTAAATATCCCAAACGCCCAATTTTAGCCAGGAATTGTGGCCACGGCATTCATTGAAAAATGGTCTGGCTTATTGTGATCTGGGCTGGGCCTGGTCTCCGTTGTCCTGTCGTATTCCCTCTATGAAAAGGAGGCTGACGGCAGATTTCATTTGTCCTCGTTGCTCACATTCACTTCCCGGTGCTGCGGTCGTCGTGTGTCCTAAGCCCATCGCTTCGTACCTCGACAAACCTGTTGCTCGTCGTTTGGCGTCACACTGGGGATAAGAGAAGTCAGAGCCGTGAGATTGAGGAAGGCGACAGACGTGCAGCCTCCGACTGACTGATCACCCCCGCCTGCCATGTAGCGGCAGCAGCTCTCTGCAAGCTTGCTGCTGTGGCAGCTGGTGGGCTAGGCCCCTCCTTGCTGTGAAGGATTAAAGTAGAAATGTTTCCCATATGGCCCGAGCGCCCGCCTCTTTCCACCAGCGCACACATAAGAGATAGTGCGTCCCTCACACTGCTGAGAGTGTGCAGAGCTGCTCCGTAGTGCGCTCTCCATTCACGGTCGATTCCAATGAAAAAACACGCTGGGTGAGTGAACTCTTAGCATTCCTTTTGTTCTGACTTTATTTAAAGCTACCTTGCCTGGGTGACTTTTTTTGGGGGGGGGGTGCTCTTTATTGGTGTTAACAGGAGCAGAAACACTTTGAGCAAAGAGGACTTTTCCAACTTAATGTGGTCCCTTATGCATTTCGATGAGTGCTTTTCTCCATTCGTTTTTGCCATTTGGCAAACACTGTTTTATTAGCTTGTCTTGCCATTTTCTGTATAATCTATGCACTTTGTGAACAGGCATTTCGCAGTTTTAAGTCAACCATGCGAATTTAAATACTCAATTATTCTTGGTTTTTGATAGTCCCAGGATGTTTAGTGTAAGTTGGCATGTTTTATATTTAAGTCTGTTTTGTTGCATGAGTATATCGGCATAAATAATTGCATTACACGGCAAAGAGTTTCGCCTTCAGGGTTAAAACAACATCCGTGTTAGAGTTGCTGCGGTCGCTAGAGCTTAAAGATAGGGTATAAAGATGGTGTGATGTAGAAACCCTTGACAGTGGAACAGCGCCACACAGTGGACATGACTGGAATCACAAACAGCAAGCAGTTGTCTTAAAATGTCCGTTTGCTGCCATGATGGGTGAGTTGCTTTTACTAGCAATGGATTGTGGGATTTGTGTTCTTTTTCCTACTTATCGTGAAATGTTAGGCTGTCTGCCTGTGCTTGTGTATATAACATGATATAATGAGGCCTATGTTTAATTATATTTTAAGATGACATCATGGATGACTTTGATCTCCTTGGCAGATGTTTAGTTGCCTTCCTCTCTTTTTCATCCAAGTTCTAGGTCTCGTTCCCGCTCCAGATCCCATTCCCCAAACCAGCACCGGGACCGGAATTACCCAAGGGAATACCAGAACAACCGTGAGTTCCGGGGCTACCACCGAGGCTTTCGCAGGCCCTATTACTACCGTGGCCGTGGGCGGGGCTACTTCCCACGGGGCCGCTACCAGCGGGGAGGGGGTGGTGGATACAACAACAATTATCGACCCAACAACTGGCAGAACTACCGTCAGCACCAGCAACAGCAGCAGCCTGCGCACCACCAGCACAGCCCCAGGAGGGGGCGCTCTCGCTCCCGCACACCCAAGAAGCGCTCGGGCAGCCCACGTTCGCGCAGCTGCTCCCGCTACTCTGACCGTTCGTCCTCCGGACGCTCCCGCCGCTCCTCGTCGTCGTCCTCTCGCTCCTCGTCTCCACGCCGCCGCTCTGGGTCTGGCTCTGCCAAAAGAAGCTCTAAGGATGTGAAGGACCGGTCTGCGTCGAAGGAGGCCCAGCGGGCCGTGGGGGGAGATGAGGAGCTGGCGGGAGGAGGTGGAGGCGGCGGTGAAGCGGGCGACGATGGGGCCGATGCGGAAAAGGCTGCCAGCAATTGGCAAGGCCTGACTGACTACAACAGCAGCCCTAAACGGGCCAGTCCTGCGGTGCGCTCGGCAGTCATCATCAGCCAGGGGGCCACGGGTCCTGGCCACCCCGGCACATCCGGTAACAGCGGTGCCCCCTGGCAGAGTACTGGCCCCACACCTTCCAGCAAAAGCCCTGCAGAGAAGAGCCCCACTGCTACGTTTTCTGGCTTTGGGCTCTTCTCCAAAGAGGACCACAGAGCAGGGGAGAAAGCTGCCATCTCGACAGCGTTTAAGAAGTAAGTTCATTTCTCTCTTTATGTTGTTATTTCTGATCTGACACCCAGTGTGACTCAGAGCTATTTATAAATGGTGGCCCTCCTTATGTTATGTGCTAGAACATTCTGTTTGCGCCGCCATTTAAAATACAGAAGCCGTTGATTCAGTGACTCATTGTAGTACTACTTGAATTTGTCTTCAAATTCAGTCTCTTTTCCTTTCAAATTTATGCTCAGAGTTTTAATTATATTTTGTTTTGATTTTTTTAGTCAGCCTCACAGATCCGTGGAGGAATAATATTTAAAATGGGAGTAGTAGCCTTCTGCTTAAATAACACCTACATGTGACTGCTTTTTGCACCTGCTGCTGTGCGTTAGCCGCACATTGTAAGCTATCCCAAATGTTTAGGAGTGTGAGTAAGGTAGAAGTAAGTATGAATTTTATATGAATTACGGTTCATTGTGTCCATGATTGCGCCGTAACCATTGTATGTGCCGTGTCAGAGCTGCAGTTGTTTGTAATCTGTGGCTGGGAGCACAGTAACCCCATAGATGTAGTGGGGTGGGATTTTAACAGGTTAAAACAGGACATGGCATGTTAAACGTGGCTCTGGGGATTCGCCTGTGCTGCCCGATTTTCCCCCCCAAGGTCTAAAGGTTTCATTGGGGGATAAAGCGGATCTTGAGTTGCTTTTCTCAGTTTTTGTGTGTTTTCTTGTTTTGCCAAATGCGAAGTATAAAACTGTAATTTGTTAAGTCTGTCTTGTAATTTAAGTCAGAGGAGAAGGTGGTGCTGCCTGACGTGCCACTTAGATGCCTCGAAGGTGTTTGTGTATCAGTGCTCCTGGAGCTTTCACAATAGGCACTGAAGTGTGCACCCCCTCTCTGACTAGGTTCTTGGAAGAACACAAGAGCAAAAAGCAGGCGTCCGACTGGGAGAACGGCAGGGACAAGGAGGTCAGCTCTGCCGATGGCGACAGGGAGAAAAGCGGCAGCAAGTGTGTCTTTGACCGGGGCGCGGGGTACAGTGCCTCAAAGAGCCTCGAGCACAGCAGCAAGGCTGAGAAGGACAAGTACAAATATGGTGATAGCTTTGAGGGCGAGCCTTCGGGTGGCTTTATGAAAGGGCCTCCTTTCCTTGGTGGCAATGGGGGAGAGGAGGAGGAGGAAGTGGCGCTAGAGCCACGGGCCAAGCTCCGGAAGGAGCGGGAGGCTGAGGAAGAGCCCAAGCCCAAGGGCAAAGCTGCCCTCTCAGCCCGCGAGGTCTTCGACGAGCGCTTTGGCAAGTGGGAAGATGTGTCCTACTTCCCCACAGCCAAGGAACGTATGCGCAAGGAGGTGGAGGCGGCTGGCACTGATGACCTTGACGACATGGAAGAGGAGCTGTACCGGAGCCGCAAACAGGAGAGGGCCTCGGCGCTGGCCAAGAAGGAGGCATACAAGGGCTTCTCCCCAGAAAAGCCGACAAAGAGCAGGAAGAAGGAGCGGGTAGAGTCCAGCCCATCCCCGCCACCTCGGAGGAGGAGCACAGAGAACAGGGACCATGAGATGTTCATGGTCCGCAGGGATGACTCTCCTCCCAAAGCCTCTGTGAAGAGAGGGGCTGAGTTTAATGTCAGAATGGAGCCTGTATGGGATGAAATTGCAAGGTAATCACCTTCCTCAAGGAACTGGTACATCCTTCCATACTTTCTTCCCTTCAGTGGCAGCTAAGCAGCCAAATGTCCAGGAGGCTGGATTAACCTGTTTTCTTTCCTCCAGCTCCTCCGGGACCTTGGCCAACGAGCGCCGGATCTCACGGGACCTGGTTCAACCCACTAAGAAAGATAAGGAATTCCGCTCCATCTTTCAGCACATTCAGGCCACCCAACTGCGCAGGAGCCCTTCGGAGCTGTTTGCCCAGCACATTGTCACCATTGTTCACCATATCAAAGGTAGATCATCCCCGATGTGTGTTTGGCCAGTCACTGCCAGCCCCAACGTGTCTTGGCTCATGTGCGGCATGACAACAGCATACTGTAACATATCATTCCAACCATCCCAAAGATGCCCACTGTTGTTAAGATGCTAAATACCTAAAAGGTGGGGCTGTATGGGATAGCAACTGTCCTCTTAGATTGAGGGAGTATTAATTTACCCTCCAGCTAGTGGGTCATTTAATGGCCTGTGATCAGTACAGAGGGAGTATCTCTGTTTTGTGTGGAGTGCTGGCACTACTAGTCCCTTGGATCTTCTTGCCTTTACCCGTCTTTCTGTAGGGACATTTTTCCTCATTATGGCTTTAAAGACGGCAATTAATTATGAGTCCATATCATACTTACAAAATTTGAATAATCTATATTTATTAAATCTCGTGTCTTACACCACTATGGTTTGATGGTCCTACGGTAAGTTAACAGCTCCTCTTAGGAAAGTGTTCATGAGCTTCTGTTTTTGGCTTTGCAAACTCCGCCATGATGTACCCAACCCTACCTGCATTTTTCCAATATAAATGGCTCGAGCTCATTTCGACCGGGGTGACCTCTGACCTTCCTCCTTCCTGTTTGCAGCACAGCACTTCTCGTCCTCAGGGATGACTTTAAATGAGCGATTTGCCATGTACCAAAGAAGGGCTGCTGAAAAGGAAACAGTGAAGCCAAGAAAAAGTCCAGAAATACACAGGTAGGTCTGTGGGCGGCATCCTTGTCCCCCGCTGTCAGGATCATCCGTGTGGCCGCTGTCCTCATAAAGGCGTTGAGCTAAGCTGCAACATATTGTTTTCTTTTGAAGGATCTATTGTTTGTAAGCAACAGAGTTGAACCCCAACCTGCTAAGGTCATGCATTGTCTGACCTCTCTCTTCCAGGAGAATTGATGTTTCTCCCAGTGCTTTTAAGAAGCACTCTCACCTGTTTGAGGAGATGAAAAGCTCCGGGGAAAGCAGCTACAAGGTGACCGAACATTTTGAAATATGAAGTATTTGGAGAGCAGAACCAGACAAAAACAAAGCAGAGGCTCTTAGAGTGCCCTCTGTCTTAAGTCTGTGCTTTCTTTCAAAGGAGGTGCTTAAGTCTAAAAGCAAATGCAGCACACTGTCGGTTTTGTGTTACTATGCCACCGCTCCACGTTTGTGATATGATTATACTGTGGTACAAGCCTGCCAAAGGCAATTGACTTGAGATGTCAGACATGGAGGTGACCTTTGCTCCTGTATCCAAGCCTGACAAAGGAATCTAAACATTGTCATCGTAAGTATTTTTATTCTACCTGAGTAACACAAAGAACCTGAATATAGTTAACACACATACTTTTTTTGTTTGAGAATCCATAAAGGCATGCTGTGTTTTTTTCTTTGAACCGAGATCTTTCACTTAGGAGGTCCACACTTGAAACTTCACGCTCTCTCCTGCAGTCTGTTCATCCTTTGTGTGCTCATTGCTGTCTTGTGTATCTTTCTGTAGGGAGTCTTAACTGTCAACCTTAAGATATTACCTTAGGGAAAGAAGATATTTTTAATGAAAAAGTAAATTGGCTGTTTAGAAAAATGCTTGACAGTGAACAGAAACCAACAACAAACATTCCTCTAGCTGATCTGTGTGTTGTCCCACTACAGACCATTCTTTGTGATGAATCCCAAATCCATTGTACTGTTTGAAACTTTGGTATGATTTTAAAAATGCCATGCCCTGTCTGATTGTACTGCTACGGTAGCATGCCACTAAAGGACTGGTTGTCCCACACCCGTACTCTCCTTTCGGGTTTTCACCCCCTCTCTTACAGGTGTGCCTTGTCGAGCGTGTTGGCATTAATGTGCGGCCTGTCTGCATCACTGTGTTTCACAGGAGGACAGCAAAAAATTTAAAGGTGATTCTATGGATCTGCGTCTGGATATTGAGCGCCGTAAAAAATACTCAAGCAAGGAGCGGGAACACAAACGGGACGGAGTGAGAGACTCGGACTCCCACGGGTCCAGCAGGGAGAGATCCTCTGAGAAGTTCACCAAGTATCACAAGAAATCCAAGTATGGGCTTGTTATATGAGCTTATGTTTTACATGCGTCCTCCCTGCCTAATGTATTATCCAGGCCTAGTAATCTTCAACTCTGAGGCACTGAATTCTTGGTTATGCATGTCATCTTAAACATGTACCAGAAAACTTGCTTGAACATGGATTTAGTGGGCGGTGGTGTTTAATGGCTGTTAAATTGTATAATTTTCTAAAGTTCAGTACTTGTTTGCCAATCAGTTTAAACAGCTCACCACATTAGTCTGATTTCATTATCCTGTAATATGGAGTTCATAGGATTTCTTCTTGGAGCATCATCTGACCTGGTAGTGTTTTGTTTTCTTGTCTTCCTCTTGAAGGAAAAGCAAGAAAAAACGTGAGCGCTCTCGGTCCTCCTCGTCCTCTTCATCCTCATCCCCCTCACATGCCCACCGTACCGGGGAGTACCCTCATGAGGAGCCGGAGCCCCGCGAGGAGGGATTCAACAAAGCCCGCTTGGGGCCGCGAGAGTATGGGGGCCCCATGGAGCGAGGCCGCGCCCGCGGCGGCTTTGTAAGTGTCCCCCAGCTTCAGGATTTCAAGGATTTCAATACTTTATTTGGCATTTGCTCAGGTACAGGTACAAGGCTTCAGAATTCTTGTACAAATCTCTGTCAATACAAAATATAGTAAATACACATAGTAACACAGCAAATATGCATAGTAAATGCTTTTAAATACACACGGTAATAAATATAATGAAGTAAGTAGACTCCTTACCAATGTATGTATAAGTGTGTACCCTTTTAAGAAATATAAAACATGTATATTGGCTCTCCCAGTGTGTGTGCATGTATGGAGAAGATTCTGGCAGTGGCGATGTGTGTGTGTGGGGGGGTGGGGGGGGGTTCAGTCAATCTGTTGTCGCAGGCTTGCACATCTCCTGGAGGGTCTGCTCTGAATTGAGTCAGCTGTGGGAGGGGGCTGCTTTCTCATTCTGGGGACCCTTCTCTTGGTTTTCCTGTTGACGTGCAAACCCCCACAAAGCCTTGACAGTCTCATTCCCACCACACTTCAGTGCTTTTGGCAGCACAGTGAGTCATTTGGCTTCTTGGCCTGGTTCTCATTGCAGCAGTTCAGGATAAGAGGACGGGGCTGGAACAGGGGCAACTACCCGGGGAACCAGAGCAACGGCAACCCAGCAAGCATGGGCGCGCCTCCGCACCCAAAGAACGAGGACTGGGACCCAGAGTACACCCCCAAGAGCAGGAAGTATTACCTGGTAGGTTTTCCTGTCATAGCTGTTTCCACTTTGGTTGATCGCCACTCCTTATGAGCACGCAGATGGGAGTGGCAGAGGAGGAGGGAGACTGAAGACCTCGTGAAGATACTGAGTCATGCTGAAATTTCGCCTATAATTAGTCTTTAGTATGTGGCTGGAACAGATTATAAACAAAAAAAAAAATTTCCCCTCCCACTGTGAGTGGTAGTAGCTCCTCATGGTTGAGTTGAGAGAATGAGAGAATCTCTGTTCATCAGCGGTATGGATTAAGAATGGCCACTATAAACTTAGAATAACTGATGTGTATGTCTGGAGGGAAAAGTCTTCTCTATGAATCCCGTATGTTTCACCCTCGTAGCACGATGACCGGGAGGGCGAAGGGGAGAAGAAGTGGCTGGACACGAGAGGCCGAGGCAGGGGCACGTTCATCCGAGGCCGGGGTCGCTTCATCTTCCGCAAAGCTACCGTCGGCAGCAGCAGCCCCAAGTGGACCCATGACAAGTTCCAGGGCAGCGGCGAGGAGGGAGAGCTGAGGGACGAGGAGAGTGAGCAGGACCATAAAGAGGAAGACAAGGCCATCGGCCCCGGGGCCGAGCAATAAAGCATGGAAATGGCGCTCACCCTTCTGGGATAACGCAGAAATCTGACACGCAGAGGCAGCCTCTACACCACCACAGTAACAGCTCTGTCCAGCCAGCCACTTTCAGCCAAAAACTCACACACTTTAAATACTCACTAGAGTAGGATGACAGTTTTTAAAGTGGTTTTTACTTTTGGACTTTGAGGACTTGGGGGTTTTTCCCAATATGTATTTTTATCAAAAGGATACTGTCTAGGAGTAATTTACTTCATGTTTTTTTTTTTTTTTTTTTTTCGGTTTTCACTTTTTATTTGCTCATTGTAAAAGCATCGTCTGACAGTAGCGATGAGGAATAGGAAAGGGAACAGGAACTGATTCCTGAAATGAAAGATAAATGTGGCCCCAAAACAGCAGAACGTCAGGTTATGGGGAGGGATTCTGTTTTTCTGAGCACGAACTGTGTTTGTGCCTTAGATGATGACAAATAACGATCCATGCAGGTAATTTTTAATTTTTTTTTTTTCCTGAGGGCAGGTTTTTTTCCAGTAGGAGTTGAAGATGGTGGGGTTGTGTTTGATTGTTGGGCTGTCGACTAGCCATGCCCAACATGACACAAAAACCTTCAACTGACCATGGGACCAATCTGCTGTGTGGGTCAAAGGTCACATACAACAGACCAGCATGCTTTCTCCCTGCCGTGGGCCGCGACATCCATGATGTACCGTCCATCACAAGTGAAGATGTCGAGCTGCCCTGATGGCAGCCCATAAATGCAGGGCTCTTCCTTGTGCTCGCTGCTGCGGTCGATTTTAGGTTTTCAGACCGATCTGTCTAGGTTTTGATGGGTGTGTGTTCAGTGCAGAAGGTTTTGTGGATGTTGTACTACATTTTTTTTTTCTTTTATATTTTTATTCATCTGTACCGGTTTTCAGAATTTAGTCATCTAAGATGAAGATTTAAGTTAGTGCCTCTTGGATATTAGAGAAATCACTTCTGAATAGACAAAATGAAATACTGAGATTGTAGAAAATAAATTATTGTGGCCTTTATGTTAGGGGAAAATTTTAAAAATGTGTTCTGTAGGTGTTCAGTCCAAAATTTGATAGGGTACAAGGTTTTTTTTCTTTTGGAGCCAAATTACGTTTCTTCTGTATTTTTTCCTTTCAGTTGACGTACATCAGCAGTGTGCAACCCAGTCTTTCTGCAGTCCGAAATTTTGTGTTTCATACAATGTTTAAGGAAGGGGATACTAATTCCTGTGTCAATTCAATTCTGTAATTCTAACAGTATGTATGAAGAATTTTGCTTTCACAAGGAACTACTGCAAAGACTATGGCACTATAGTGATTTGTACATCTTGTTCTGAATTGCACTGCATTTTAATGTACAGGATATACTTTGACTGTGATTATTCAATGTTGAGGCAAAGTTGAAACATTTTTAAATTGTTCCTGTAACTCTTGTAATTTCCCAAATTGTCAATTAAACAAAAGGCTGGTGTATTTATTTGTCATGTCATTTATTATAAATTAGGGCTTGCATTCCTCTTCTGGGAGTTCAGGCATTTCCACCAGGACTGTGACCCACAGGTATTTGGGTAGCAAATTAAACAAAGGTGTAACTGCGACATATATAACAATTTGTTAGGCTTCGTGATTCAGTTGCTTTAAAAAAACAAACACAGGCTTTATTATAAGCATTTCAATAAATGTCCAGTTAATCAGAGGGAAGGAGTTGCAGCTTCATTTGTGCAATCTGGTCTGGCATTTGCATTGTGCCATGCTGCAATTGTCCAGTTTCACTATGATTCATGTTTACATGAACTTTCGTTTAATTAAACTCTTCAGACCGTTCTTCCAAGCACCAGTCTGAGGTCAGTGTGCTCTGGCCCTTTCCTGCCATTAGAGTGCTTTCCGGGGAATGTCCCTAATCTCCAAGGGGGGAAATGACTTGCGGTTTGCAGTGCCTTGTGCGGTAAAGCCTGCTCTCCTCTTGGAGGTGCCCCCTCAGAACGTTTTTGTTATATTATTGACGTCATCTCAACAGGTTCTGCTGGTTCTGGTGCCCAAAAATATTTCACATTTGCGATAGCCGATAATCGTCTTAACTTTTTTTTTTTTTAATGCTTCCTCATTATTAAGATATTACTGATTTTTTATCTTTTTGATGGATTTACTTTATCCTGGTGAAATATGGAGGAAATATATGCTTAAAGATTTTACCAGTTAAAACGGGCTATTTTCGTTATAGGTGAAACTATTGAATGTTTTTGGTAGGAAGTTATTCCAGGGGAATAGTGTCGTTATCTGCATCAAATCTACGAAACAATCTGGAAAAAGCATGGGCTGTATGCACAAAATGCACCATGTACAATACATTACCACATTACGACCGTGTTTTTTCCAGTGTGTGTGTGTATACCATCAATCTGTTAGTTGACAGACCTTTCGAATGAAAACACGACCAGGGAAAAGTTATAAGGTCCTATCAGCTGTTTTCTTTCGACACAAACCTGTCCCGCCTGTTCCTACCTGTGTGACGACGCTGACCCTCCTAGCTTGTTGTGACTCGTTCAAAAGATTTTTTTTACGTCTTTCGCAAGTGGGAAGAAGCTGTGGTGACTAGTGCTTAGGCAACACTTCTCTTGCACGTTACTTTTCTTCTGTTTTCGCTTTTGTGTGGACTTTTAGTTAACGGAACAGAAAAGGGGGAGTTGTGTTTTCACAGGTGAGCAGGGAGGAAAGCCCTTCTGGACAGCATGGGTAAGTCCGACCTGTGCGCATGGGACCCGCGGGCGCCCGGCGTCTCTGCGCCCTTTTTTCATTTTCCGCTATTACTATGGGTCGATCAGACTGGTCTCTTCTGATCATTTATATGGAAAGAAACGGACGAGTGTTACCTTCTGTGTACGGAGATCCTTCATGTCTTCTGCCTGCTCATTTCTACACGCGTTCAGCCCCAGGGTAGTGATTTGCTGTTGCGCGTACGATCGTGGTGCTTAAAACGCAACAAATTACCCAAAGCTGATTAAGAGTGGAAGGATATTTGTCTTCATAAACAAATAAAAGGTGCTATGGACAAAACTTATTATAAAACGCTCGAGATACAATAACGAACCAACTCCTAAGATCCTGCAGCGGAGCCAGTGTGAATACTTGCTTTAAAATGTTTCCGTGTCACTATTTATGAGCCTGGAATCAAAGCCACTTAATCAGACTTTGTTAAACGGTTTCTGGATGAGACTACAGCGATCGAGTTTATTCCTTCTTGCCCCACATTATTTCATGACATGAAACCACTGACGTACTTTTGTGTGTATTAACTGTAGTACCAGCGCTTCGGAGCACAACAGTCCGAAAGTGGCGAATCTGATTTATTACGGAACTCCGAGCTCCTCCACAGACCCGCGGAAGTTCCGTTCCGAATAATTAAAAACAACATCGGTTTTAGAGGAATAGTCCTGGACTGGGCTTTCTTTTCCTGCTGTTTTATAATTTTATCTATTCAATCTGTTGGGGTGGTGGGATAAATACAGACCCGTAAACAGAATTAAATTTCCAGGGGGTTTAAACTCGTTATTTTACTACCTGGCTACGTCACTGGTCGGGAGCAAACAACACGCCCCCCCCGCCCCCCAATATTCAGACGTGCTCCCGATGTCCCAACAAAAATCTATTATAATTTCAGCCTTGGTCCTCCCCTCCCCTCAGTGTTTGTTCCTTGGCTAATTGCCTTGATGGACATGCATCTCCCATCCCCCCTGTTCCTATAGGCTGCATTGTAAGAGCAGCCTCTCATACTGTAAGGCTGCCTTTCTGATAAGGCATCCCCTCCTTCCTGATTGCTGGGATTCCAAAACATTCCAGATCCTCAAAAACCTGTGACCTGTATGAACATGCACCACAAGGAGCACCGGTGGCCAGTATAAAGCCAGGGTCTTTCAAGTCGAAGCCGCCCCTTCTGGAATTTTACTCGTCTCGGCTAGTAGAGAACTGATACCTGACAGGAACAGCAACAGTAACCAAGTGTAATGCTGCAGGTACCGTTCACAGGACAGAGCCCTTGATGTGAAATGTACTATATCAGAATAGCTTGAAGGAACATAACCATAAAACATTTGTTGTGTGTAGTGGCTATGTGTGCCGTGTTTGAGACATCTCTCTGTGGTCTCTTCCATGCCCCAGAGGTCATGGTCTTGATGGATTTTGAAGGCAACGAGGCGGATGAGCTGACGGTGCACGTGGGAGACGTGGTGAAGACCGTCAGCAAGGCGGCTGAGGATGGTTGGCTGCAAGGGGAACTGCGGGGGGTGCGAGGCATCTTTCCCGCCAACTTCGTCAAGGTCTGTGTTTGGGCTCGGAGTCTGTTCCGGAGATCAGATGTCCCTTTGAGGCCCACGGGCTCTGAAGACTTGCAGCAGCCCGTGTCACACGTGTCACACGTGTACTGCTCGTGACGGTGTGTGGTCCTCTTCCCACACAGGAAGTTCCTGCATATCTGAAAGGAGGTGAACACAGGGAACCAAGAAGTATCAGAAAATGTGAGTTTAGGTCCTTCCATTTCACCATGTCAGAGGGGGGGGGGGGGTTCTTGTGCGAGTGAGAACTGCGTAATGATTTATCTTTATTATCCTTATCCTGGGAACCCCCTCCGAATTGGTCCTGAAGGTTTAAATCAAAATAGTACCCACTATAAATGAGGCAGGTAAATATCCTCTTTGAGTGTGAATCGCCTTTTTTGTTGGCCTGTGTGTGTTTTGAGGAAGTATATTTGGTTTGAGTGATGCTGGCCTTCAATGTGGTTTTTGTTGACTCTGAAACTGACTTATCAACTGGACACTATACTCAAAGTCATTGGCCAGTCACGCAAAGGTTTCTATGGTAATGTGGAAGGTTAAATTAATAGCAAAACTGGCCATTTTTTGAAGCATGCGTTGGCTCAAAAATCTGACATTAAATCCCCGGAGATCATTTAAATATGAACATTTTGTGCTCTAGATGTCCCTCACACATATTCCGGCTTATCTGTTTTTTGGGTTGGAGACTACTTTTAGTGATGGTGTTGTTGCTATGGTTGTTTTGTATATGTTAGTGCTGTCAAAATTAGTGCGTTTAATGTTGTGATTAATTAAAAATATTTGACGTGTTAAATTAGCGCAATTGATGCAAATGTGTTTCGTTTACTTCCTGTGTGGAGGCTTAAGACTTAAGAAACATAATTTTTTAATCTCAATTAATCAGGATTAATTCGTTGCAAAATGTGCGATTAACTAGTTAGTTTTTTTAATCGATTGACAGCCCTAAAGTGTGTGTGTGTTTGTGTGTGTGTGTGTGTGTATATATATATATATATATATATATATATATATATATATATATATATATATATATATATATATATCTAGATGAAATGCTGTGTTCACATATCTGGTCAGACCTTTATATAGAAGTATGTCTACCCCTCTCCAGCGAAGACGGTGAAGGGGACGCCAACGCGGCGATGTGAGGTCCTCTTCCCTTACACCCCCTTGAATGACGACGAACTGGAGCTTACCGTGGGGGAAATCGTAGAGATCCTCAAAGAGGTAAAGGGACTGCTTTCCCGTGCTGTACTAGTAATGGTTTATCCGATGGTTTAAGTCTGACGGGTCAAACTCAGTCGCTGAAAGAACCATCTTAAACACCACCAAAGACCAAAGCTTATATTTATTTCATAACAGTATGACGCAAACTCTGCAGTTACTTGATTGAAATATTTAATGTAAATATTATTTACAAATATGAACTTTGTAGTAAATATTATTTCAGAAAATTCTTTTTAAATAAAACAACAATAATATACATGAACCTCTCTGAAGATATAGAATTAAATCAAATGCATCCACTTGGGCTGATGAACCATTATTATTCATCTGTTTTTATCTGACATGATCCACTGAATCCTTCTTTTAAATGAGAAATAGACGCCAAGAAATCAAAACAGCCAGATTACACAATTGTGCAAATAAGCATCCCTTAGGTTTTGCTATTTAGAACCTTTGATTTCCAACAGTTCCTAAATGTGTTTGTAGTTTTCATAGTAAATAACCGAGGTTTGTATCGAACCGTGAACTTTGTGTGCTGTTACAGCTCTATTCCTGGGCCATTTTTAACAGAATATCATCTCGCGGGCTGGATGAGGCCCATGACCTTGAGTTTGACGTATATGGTTTAAGTTTTCTACAAAGACTGGTGTACTATGTTTTTATTTTTGTGGAAGCGTGCTCATTCGGATCCCTTCACAGGAATTCCGCGGGGTTCAGAATAACAGGAGAAGGCTGTGTTGGTTGCAGGCGTGGGCCCTCTGACTAACCACCTGGCCAAGCAAGCAAAAAATGCCACTTAGCACGTGTCTGATTTTTCCTCCTCACTTCACAAGCGATATTGGTGATCGATATTAAGCGTCAGACTGCTTGTGGTGCTGCTTCCGAATGCAGTGCCTCAGCCAGTGCTTTCTGATGAAGGTTGAACGCGACTCTTTCTCATGTCAATTCTGTAGCTGCCCAGAACTTTTCCTTAGTGTTGCTCTTCGTTTTGGTTTGGTTGATCTTGCTTAATAGCAGAGCTGCACCATATATCGTTTCAGCATCATTATCGCGATATGTGCATGCGCAATAATCACGACGCATTTGTCAGTGCTGCTTGACACGCCTCGTGGCAACAGCCCCAATGTATTTGACACACTCTCTTGGGTGATAATAACATTTTGTTTGGCTATAGTTTATTTCAGGTAATTTCATCGACTTTTTTGTTTTATGAATATCACAGTATTATTTGAGGATATTTCACATATTGTGACAGTGTGATTTCACGCAGCCCTACTTAATAGTGAATATTAACAGTAAGTTAATAAGAGTGCCATGTTTGGTTGAGAAGTTATTGTCCCCTTGAGAAATAAAGATCTGTCTAATGAAGATGGGTTCCACTTTATGCATAAATAGAGCAACATTAGCAACCCAATATAATGAAAGTATTTGAAAGAAAATGTATGTGTGTGTTTCATTTATTTTTTAACAATTCATTGTATACCTTTCGTATTAATCTCATTTCTTATCCAATCATCTTAACAGATTGAAGATGGTTGGTGGCTGGGTAAGAACAATTACAAATTAGGGGTCTTCCCATCGAATTTTGTCAAAGAGATTTTCGTCACAGGAAAAGGTGAGTCAGGACACAAACATTTTATTTATTTCGTTTACTGTTTGCGTGCTTTTTGCAGTATGTATATAGATCCTTCGTCCAGCCCCCTTGTTTTGCACTGTCCTGTGCTTCAAGTACTGGGAAACCCCTCCCCTGTCACTTCCTGTTTGTGTGTGGCACCGGGATCCTGAGGGAACATTATTTCGTGCTGTTTTACCTGTTTGCTTATTGGATGAACCGCATGTCTGTGATGACATTCCTTGCAATATTCCCTTAGCTTCTCCCTGTCTGATGGCTTTGCAATTTAAGGACATGGTCACTTATTACATGATGGTAGGATTTTTGTGAATACACAATGCCTGCTGTGCCGGAAGGTTTCTGGGTCTGCAGATTTAGATGTCACTGTAAGACAGCGTTTCGCTGGCCTTCAGATAATGTTCAGACTATGCCATGAGCTTGAAGGGGTCAAGCTCCTCCTCACTGGAGGTGTCAGTCCAATGATTTTTATCTACCTTATCCTCGGCATAAGAAACAACTAGGGATGCACCAATTCGATATCTATATCGGATATCGGTCCGATAATGGCTTAAATAGGCATATTGGATATTGGTAGCATTGGGCCGATATATTCGACTGATCTATTTGATTAAATTATAAAGTGTTTCTGTATTCATACACGTGCTGAAGCTACGTCAAGCGCGTGCAAACTCCATTATGCATCAGCGGCACGCAGTTAAATCCACATTTTGTTAAGAAAAGCTACAAGAACAGCGAACAGTATGGAGGGAACTGAGAAGAAACTGTCATCTGTGTGGAGGTATTTCGCGCTTGCTGCTTGTTTGCAATATCTGAAAAGCCAGTGTTTCGCGGGGAGGCAGCCGCACTGCAAAGTATAACACGACCAACTTAATGAAGCGTCGTGCCAAAGAGTGTGAGGAGTTGACCAAAACAAAACAGGAGATTGTTCGAAGCTGGTAACTCTACAGGCAGCAATGCAAAGACGTGAGAAACTCCCTGCAATTTTAAACTCCTGAAGATTGCTGCACCTAAAAGTATACTTATAACATTACTTACATTGGAATTGGAATTTCTGTTACTTTACTGTTAGTATTAGTTACTGTTAGTATTAGTTACTGTTAGTAACAGGTTGTTAGTATTATGTGAATGGTAAATAATTCAGCTTATACATATTTGTGTGTGCGTATTTTTTACATTTTCTTGGTCTTGGTCTTGGCATACATCTTACTAATCAATCACCGGTATCGGATCGGTACTCGGGATCGGCCGATACCCAAAGCCCAGGTATCGGTATCGGAGCTGAAAAAGTTGGATTGGTGCATCCCTAGAAATAAAACTCTCCACAACGTGGTGTCCATTCCTCTGGTAGAGTAACCACGGCTGGTGCTTGTTGTTTTGTGTTCCACCATCTGGCCAGGTGGATTTTGATTCTTTGGTATGAAGAAAACGTCGCATGACGCTTGTGTGTTTTTACGAGCCTCTTAGCCGGCTGTCCCCCGTGGCAGTTTCGGCAGGAATGCGTCATGTCTCAATGTGCACATTTTCTCATATTTTAAAGATTACAAGCCTGCCGAAGGTAAATCCCGGCCGAAGCTGACAGACGCCATATTCACCAAAGAGGTTGGTTCCGGCTCACTTCAGATACCCTGGGTGGGGTCGGTTTGGGGCCGGGAGTGCTGAACTTCCTGGTGTGTTTCAGGTGAAGGAGCAGCAGAGGACGAGCGTGCGGAGAAAGATTAACAGCGGTGAGTAACCCTGAGCTTCTCTTGCCATGCAGAACCTGTGACATTTCAGAGGGTTTCGGCCTCACTGTGTTAACAGGGGTGTGTGTGGGGCTGGAACACCCAGCTGAAAGCTGATTGGACTCCTCCCCTGTAATTCACCATCTCAAAACATTTCATTGGCTAATGATAAGGTTGGCCACTCCGTATGAATTATAGCTCATCCTATGCCCCACCCCCCACCTTAAAAAACTCCTAGAATCACCCCTTAAGTGGGGTACAATCCAAGTGTCCCTCTGCCTCAGTGGAGGAGGCCTCACAGGGAAACACGCTGCTTTAATGCCAGACATGCTTTGTATATCTAAGCAAAATAAAATGAGTCCTAAACTTCAAGAGCTGCAGATATATCTGGATTTTGAGAAATTATAGTACAGTTATTCTGTATATGCCTGTGGCGTGAGTGTGAATTATATAAACATGTGACATTAGTGATCATAACATGGTTAGATTCAAGGTTAATTTTAGTGTCCGGAGAGCATAGACCAAAACAAAAAATATACAACGTTAGGAAGGCTAACTTTAATGGTACTAGAAACTGTAAACTGGATGGAGATAAATATCAAAACTGTTGAAGAGGCATGGGAGTTGATTAAAAGCACATTATTGTAAGTGCAAGAGGACTTCATGACTGTTTCCAGCAAAACTAAATCTAGGAAACTGCAAACTGAGCGGTTTACTAGTGGAATTAAGAATAACGTCGGGAGGAAAAGGGCTCTCTTCCACAAATGGAAAATAAATAATGATGTTGGAAGAAAGCAGGGGTATCTAAGTCTACAGGTTGAGTTAAAAAATATTAGACTCACTAAGACTCATAAGGGTGATTGCACTGGAGGCTAAGGATGACATTAATAGTTTCTTCCAATATTTTAACTCCAAAAGAGCTCTAAAAGCCGAAATCACTAATCTGCAGGATAGTAAGGGCCTTATAATTGAAAATGATATTTTTTATAGTAAATGAGTTTAATGATTTTTTTGCATGGGTATTCACTGTAGAGGACACAAGTAACATACCGACTCTTATTAATAATCCAGTGTCGTCTAGGACTAATATATGTATAACTGAAGCTGATGTGCTACAAAGCCTGGCTAAGGTCAAAATAAATAAATCGCAGGGCTCTGATGGCATCTTACCTATGGTTTTAAAAGAGATGAGGGGTATAGATATTTTTTGCCGACCTTTATTATTTCTGAAATCATCTGCTGTTGTGGTACCTTCTGATTGGAAGCATGCTAATACAATGTCCATATTCAAAAAAGGGGATAGAACTAATCCAGTAAACTATAGGCCAATCAGTTTAAGTGTAAGCATTACTGGAACATTCACATAGCATTCTGAGGGGTAACCAACTTGGATTTAAGAGAGATGGATCCTGTTTAACTAATCTACTTGAGTTCCTTGAGGAATCTACTAGAGAAATTGATCGCAAAAAGGCCTACGGCGTGATCTACTTAGATTTCCAGAAGGCCTTTGTTGTTGTCCTCTACAAACGGCTACTGTTATTTCTAATTTACATTAACAATATTGACACCAATACATACAGTAAGCTGGTTATGTTTGCAGACGACACCAAGGTGGGTGGTGCAGCAGATGGTACAACGGGATCGTCACTTAATTAGTGACTGGGCCGATACCTGAAATTTATTGTAGACAAATATAGGGTAATTCATGCAGGGAACTGAAATATAAAGTACAGATATTTTATGGGTTCCATTTAATAATAAAGGAAGCAGATTATGAGAATGACTTTGTTGATGCTTCCATGTCCCACTCGCCAGTGTGGGGAAGCAATAAAAAAGGCCAATAGGATGTTGGGTTACATCTCTAGGTGTGTGGAGTTTAAGTCAAGGGAGGTGATGCTATGATTATATAATTCCTTGGTAAGACCCCACCTAGAATATGGTGTGCAGGTTTGGTCACCATACCTTAAGAAGGACATTGCCTAGGAAAAGGCAAACGTAGGGCTACGAGAATGATTCCTGGTCTTAGAGGAATGTCTTATGAGGAGAAGTTAGCTGAGCTGAATCTGTTCAGCCTCAAGCAAAGGAAAAATGCAGTTTTATGATTGGATCTTGCTCTTTCTCACATTAATAGTGAATGAATGCTGCCAGGTCATGTTCGACTACAAATCGGTCCTGGATGACGAGCTGGATTTGAAGAAGGGCGATATTGTGACGGTCATCTCCAAGGTAACGGGCTCCGTGTTGCGAGCCGTAGCGATGGCCTCGTAAGGGGCCGATATTATCTGTGCAGGAAGTGAGAGGAGCGTGTCATGGGCTTGGCCGCCCCTGTCACAAGGCACATGGGAGTGCGTTCCCTGGCCTGACTTACGGGTTTGGCTGGAACAGAGAGCGTAAGAGTCTGCAAGCCGTCACCAGATCGGCACGATGCTCTCTGCGCGGTGACATCGGCCGGGGAAGTCACATAATGAGGGACAATGGGAGGAGGGCTGGAGATTCTTGTCTGTGTTGTTTTGGTGACATTGCGCAATGTGACTTAGTCTTTCTCAACATTACCACTGCGCCTTTGCCACCGCCCCCCCCCAACCCAGGATTCGGAGGATGAGGGCTGGTGGGAGGGCGAGCTGAACGGACGGAGGGGATTTTTCCCGGACAACTTTGTCATGGTGCTCACCGTGCCCCACCTGGTGAGTCTCTGCCCGTGGCATTGCTGTGATGCCAGGGATAAGCTCCAGCCTGAGGAGGGGGGGTCGCCAGGCTGGGGATGCTTTCTAACATAAACTACTATTTCAATTAAAAGGACCTGGATTTCACTTAAGCACTGAGCTCTTGCTGTGTGCTGATTGGTCAGCCTCCTATAATCATGCATGTGTCACTAATGCTAATGTGAAACTGCTGTATGAGTCTTTCAGTCGAGAAAACAAATCAGTCAAGGCCACAAGAACGATTTTGCCAAGTACAGGAGTTTTTATTAAATTCTCACTTCCTCCTCTGTGGTGTTTGGGGACGGACTTATGTGTCAGATTTGTTTTGCAGTCTATCTGTGGTTTTAGGACGACGCTCATGGTTGTGTGAATGAGGTGCAGGCCGAGGGCCCTGACTGAGTGTCTCTGTCTCTCTCTCTCTCTCGCCATGGCTCTGCCTCCTCGCAGCCAGGCGCCATGAGCCAGCCGCCGGCACGCCAGTCACCCGAAAAGCCGCCAGGTATGGAGACCCCCCGACAGGATTCGTCTGCACCATTTTTGTTGTGCACGGAAATGACTGTCATGCCCCNCCCCACCTTTAGCAGTGCTAGTTTTGGTTTTGAATGCCGCCCAGTTTAACGTGACCCTCCCATTCCAGCAGACATCACGACAGGCATTTAGTAAACACTGTTTGACATCATGTATCAAATAGCCTTTGAAGTGGAAAGGAATCCTGTCCTATCAGTGAGAGGTTTGGGTTTGGGTCTGTTTTGACTGGCGCTGACCACAGTCACAGTGACCATGCTGGGCTGAGATGATTGAATAAAGTGGTTCCACTGAGTCTTCGCTCCATTGAGATGCATAACCAGTGAGAAGAGTGTGATCTGGTCTGGTGGTTAAGGGCATGGGTCAGTAACCATGCAGATGCTGGTTAATGTGTTCAAGGGGTTTTACAGTGTGGTGTCAATGGGAAGTCCCTCACCCGCATTAGTGGTCTGAAAACTAACTCACTCCAGTTAAGACCAGCTCAAAATAAACAAAGCTGGCTTAGAAGTATGTTGGATAGTTGAGCACCTGACAGAGAAGAGATTGGTTAATCAGGTTGATGACTGAGACCTACCGCGGTGGAATGACTTAGCGCTACTCACGCGGCGGCTTTGGTTGGCTTGTTCCTGAATCTCGTCGGACTTCCTTTTCTCAGTTCCCCTTGCAAGAGAATGCCCACCCTGCTTGGGACGGCAGCCTTTATGAGGCAGGACCAGCCGGGCTTCCTGCGCAGGAAGCATGTCATCGCCACCAGGTGGAGCTGTCCTACTGACTGGGACCACAGTGGCGGGATCGGGGCCAGCCGTCAGCGCAGGAAATACCGGCGCTGATGGTACTGTAAGGGTGCGCGGCTCTGTGCTGGGGCTCCAGCGCCCTCGGGAACTGACATCGTCATGGGAATGGTTTGTCCGGCCTTTTCCAGAACGGCTTGAAGTGAAAGGGGCTTTAGCCGATTGGAAAGATACAGGATTCAAGGCACTGAACACTTTTGGATGCAGGTGAGAGTCTCCGCAGCCGACGGGCTTCGCTCACATGGGCACGCGTGCGCATCCGCTGCTGCCAGGAAGTCAGAAACCACAGCGGGGTCACGTGACGGGCAGTTGGGGAGAGACGTGCGCGGGGGGGGGGATCTCTGTGGCTTTGCCCGACTCGCTGGCTCAGGGGCGGGTCCAGACCCCAGCCAGGGCGGGAGGTGGCGAGTGCCTCCTGGCCTTTTTGACCCGGTGTGCTTTTGAGGTCGGCCGTGCTGGGTTCCCTCTCGCTGATATCTTTTAGCTAAGGTGTGTTTTAGGTGCTTGAGAAGTTCGCAAGGTTGTTTTTGTTCAAGGGGCAGCGGTTTCAGACACGAGGAGCTGGGTAATCTGCAGGCAGCGCACGACGTTCACGCCCGATATGTCCACCTGTGACGTTGCGAAGCCTCTTGACAAACAGCTGTGACTGAACAGCCGCTGTTTCTCCCCCACGCCGGGCGGGTTCCTGTGCGCTCGGGTGTCAGCAAAAAAACACAGAGAATACGACGCCTCCGTCTTGCAGTGATCTCCGGTCAGCTGAACGCATCGATTAAGGTGCGGGACCTCATGCTTGGAAGGTCACGGGCTCTATTCCCGATGCCACGTGACAAGTGTGTCCGTGAAGAAAAGTGGGGTGTTTTTGCGAGTCGGTCACCGTGTGTCAGAATGACGGCCGAGTCACTGACCGGGTGGGAAGGAGCCGGACAAAAATGCCACCGCCCAAGAATCAACTGTGACCGTCACGCTTGGGACGTGCAGAAATAAGTACCCCGGCCTGACACTCCTCTGTGTATGGTGTTGCAGGTGAGACTGAGCCCCCCCCAGTGGAAAAGACGCCTCATCAAGACGAGACAGACCTCGCACCACCTGGCCAGGGGAGGGGTAAGGTGGGCTCGTCTCAGAGGGCCTGGGGTCAAAGGAATGTAGAGACATGTGTCGTGTTAGAAGAGATTTACAGATGAGGTGGTTGAATCCACTGTGAAGTACTGTGTAAATGTATAATTAACAGGAAGAAAATGAATCCATATTTAGCTTTGCAAGTTAAAGCAACAAACATCAAGTCTGTCTATCTGAGGTAATATGTTACTTTCCACCTTGCACGTCTTGTTCATAGAGATGTTGCGTAGTGGTTGTGGTGTCAAAAAGTTTGGTTTCTGAACCGAGCAACACGGAAACTTGAGAGCCAGCAAAACTCATCTACAGAAGCGAAGATTTGTTTTGATCAGAACTCAAACCGTTCATGCAAATGAAAGAACGTCACAGCTCTGCAGTCGACCGTAACGTCACCATGAAGCTGGTCTTTGGAGGATCTAGATTCTCGGCAAAGCGGCTGTCTGTTGAACCTCCCTCCCCTGTTTTGTAGAGACGACTGACGGCCCCATGAAGCAGAGGAAGGCCCCCCCACCACCGGTGAAGGACAAGCCCAGCTGGCCTCCACAGATCAAGTATGTCCCTCCTCCTGACCCGCGGTCCGTACGCTGTCTGAAAGCTGGGGGGTGGTAAAGAGCCCAGGCCTCGGGTTGAATGCTGTCGGGAGTGTGGTGTTCAGTAAAGCGGGCTTGTAGATGAAGACAGGGCCAATTTGTTGTCTTTGTTTGCGCGTAATGCCGCTCGCCTGAACTCGCATACATACACAGTGCTGGAAATTAAGCCCACCCACTCACCTAAGGCCAGCCATTTAGACAAAGGACAAGTACGAAAAGCTAAATGCATGCCCATTGCCTATGCTGTGTTTGTTAATATATGTGTTAATCCTGTAAACCTTTGTGAATTACTGAAAGAACTACTGAAGAAACAAGTAACGAATAACACGTTAAATATTGATCTCATACTTGTTCATCATTAATGAATAATGATGCATCTTTCATCCCAAGTTGTTATATTTCTTACTATATTTCTGTAAATCTTTGTTAACTACTAAGGAAGTACTGAAGGAACAAGTAATGAATAACACGTGAAATTTTATTCATGTTAATTCATCATTAATGAATGATGCATCTTTTATCTTAAGTAGCGACTATATTTGGTCATGATCTGTTCATGATTTGTACTTAAGTAGTAACTGAGTCACACTAAAAGAGGCAGAAATAGTAAAATGTTGTACTAAATTTTTTTACCAAACTAACCCAGTGAACTAGAAGCAGCTGTACATGCAAAATGGTCATTCGAAATTTATTTTGGCTATTTTTTAATTGCACATGATTATCTTGATTAGAAGGAATTGTCTTTTTTTGGTAACACTTTGAGGGGACACAAATACTTAGTAGTGACTTAGTAGTGGTTTACAGAATTAACAGATATAGTAACAAACAGAGTAACTACTTGGGATAGAAGATGTGTCATTAATGATGAATAAATATGAGATCACTATGTTACTAAAACTTTGTGGTTAATTAATACATAAGCAATAACATAATGGTACATTATTGCTCCCACTCAAGTAAAGTGTTATTTAAAAAAAAAAAAAAAGAAAAATCCTGTGTATGTGTGTATGTATGTATGTATGTGTGTTTTTTTACTGATATATATATAAAATGTAATATATGCAGCCAAAGAAAATTATGCTTAAATGATCTTTATATGCTATTATGCTTGTTAAAGTGTCAACTTCGCCATTTGCTGCTGAAACCGCCCTGTTATTGCCAGCATGCATCCCAAACACCCCTGTATTTTTTTTACTTGACTACTAGCACAGCTCGTACAGCTAATCAATACCTCACTCACATGTTTTAACTAATTAATTAATTAGATGAGCTAGTGGTGAAATTTAACAAACACATGGAATGGCTGAGGTGCCCCTGAGGAGAGGTTTGGAAACTGAAGCTGTGTTCATCTAGCCATCCAACTAGGTATCAGTGACTTTTTGGAGAACAGAAGAAATTCTTATTACTTTTTATTGTGTAACGGTCTGTTTACATATGTTCTAATGTTAAATAGTTTTTTGTTCTGAGCAAATGTGCACTCACTACCCAGATACATTGCGTTAAACATTTCTTTTGACTGCTTAAGACTTTTGCACACTCCTGAATATATTGTGTTTAACATGAAGGAAGCCCCCAGCTCCGGGTGCGTCACTGTGTTTTTGTATCTTGTGAGTAAATTTGAGCACAAGCCTTATCTGCTAGTTCCAGGATGGCATGCGGGGACGGGAAACCGCGCTCTGCCAGCGTGCCCCCTCCCACAAAACGCGAGTGACGAGGCTGGGGCCCGGGGCTGTTTCCGGGGCTGATTCCCCCCCCCCCCACAGGGTGGGAGCAGCCGTGCCCTTTTAAGGAGATGCTCGTGGATGGTTGTAAATGCAGTTGTCTTTCTCAGCTTCCAGAAAGATCTACCCCTGACAGTCTTGCCCCCCTTTTTGTTTGGGGAACGGGTACAAATAAAAGCTGACAGGCTAAATCTCTACCCCCCCCACCCACCCCGTTTCAAAGCTGAATCAATGATCAATGAGTGAATTTTTTATAATTTTTTTTTGCTGCAACGTGAAGTTGAAGGCAGGGGATTCCAGGCCCGAGTGTGTCACATTGCCTCGATGCGCAGGCTGCGCACCCTCTGCTTCTGCAGTCGAAAACAGGATGTTGAGCGTCGTTGCGAGCATGGCAGTCGGCTGACGCTGGGCTGGCATGCTAATACAGCAGCTGGCACCGTGAGCACGGTGGGGGGGGGCGAACGCTCTGTTTCTAATTGAACACCGACGGCCGTTGTTTACAGTCTGTCTCCCCCCCCCCCCCCACCCCCACAGGATCAATGGCGAGCAGTCACCAAAGCCAGCAGAAGAAACGAAAGAAAAAGGTTTGATCTTAGATTTTTTTATCCATTTTTTGCACTCGTGTGGCCGGGGTACCAAGCCTGTCCCAGAAGCTAGAGAGTAACCCAGGATGGGGCGCCAATCCATCGCAGGGCACTCACAAATAAATCAAGTAAACATGGCGTGTTTTTGGACTAGGGAGGGGGCAGAGAACCACAGGGAGAACACACAAACTCCACACATGTATGTAAAGCTGGAGAGCAAACTTTTATATGTATAAAACTTTTATATATATATATATAACATACATTTTGAACATTGAAGGTGGCCCACCTGACTGGACACGCACTGCAGCTGTAATGTTGTGACTTTATAAGCTTATCAGCTCACATGCTGTCCCTGTGAACATCAGATCACAGCTTCTGTGACATATCATCTTAACTGCTCACCCACACAAGATCACAGGGAGGTCACTGCCTCTCCCTGAGATCGGTATGCCCGTTTTCACAGGGCATTCGGGCACACGGGCTGTCCAATCACGCGCAATTTCACAGGGCATACAGACACACAGGCTGTCCAATCACGCGCAATTTCACAGGGCATACAGACACACAGGCTGTCCAATCACGCCCATTTTCACAAGACGTTCAGGAAGACGGACCACCCAGTTGTGCCCAGTTTCACAGGACATACAGACACACGGGCCGTCCAATATGGCACCACTCGAAGTCTTGTGGATGAAAATTAAATAGTCTATAGGAAACTTAGGAGAATACAAGTCAATATTGGTATATACAGTACAGTATACCAACTTCTAATATAAACAAGCAGGTTCCCTTGTCTACTAAGCCATTGGTGTCGCTGGTCTTGGTAATGTGGCATAGGGATTCCATCGGACCCCCTCCTTTTTCAGATGTGGATCAGTTTGACAATGTGGACGTGTCCCCCGCCAAACTGAACCACCCCACGGCCAACCGGGCGAAGCCTCCCCACAGGCGACCCCCGACCAACCTCCACTCCCCATCCAGCGTAAGTCTGCCTGCTCCGTGCCATCAGCCTCATCCATGCCTTCGCAGGACCTTTCAGGTCTGAGACGTTCAGTCATGCAGTGTAATTCTGTCATGCAGTGTAATTCTGTCATGCAGTGTAATTCAGTCATGCAGTGTAACTTCCTGTAGGGGGAGGGGGTTGCCAGCTGGACAGCTACCTAATAAAATCACGTGTTCTTCACCTGCAGCCTACAGAGCAGACAGAATTTGATATGGCCCCCAAAAAATTTGAGATTGCACAACCAAGAACCCAATCAATGCGCTAGACATCATTTATATTTATGCCCAATGATAGTGGGAATTGAAGTCATGTGACTATGATAATGCCCATTGATAATCCCAGCATGGCTACTGGCATCATTGTTGACCCTTCAAAATCCCGTAGGAGACTTTCCCGGTTGTGGCCCCCAAACCCACCTCCAAGGCATCCCAGGAGGAGGCCGGCACCATGGACGACGTTAGGACCGCCGTCCGCGACCTACAGATGACCCTGGAGCTGTTCAAGGCTCAGCATGAGTCAGTCTCCAGTCGTTGTGCTACGTTTGCCATTTATTGTCATTCCACTGATGACCTATAGATGGCAGATGTGCAACACGTTCAGCCAGTAGAACCCAGTTTGCAATATAGCTTAACACAGTATAGTATACCAGCTTCTAACATAAAGTCTTCGTTATTTCAGAATCAGATTTATTTGTCAATTTGTTAATTCACAATAGGACTGATGGTGTCTCTCTTAAGTTATACAGACAATATACAGACAATGAACATTTGATTTACAGACAATACACAAATCATACATAGAGTGAGTGAGAAACCAAAAGTAAGTAGTAATCCACACAGCATTGCTTTCTTTTATTTTGCTAAGATTCTTTACGTTTTCTTGTTGGGTTTGGTGGGTTGGGGAGGAGACTGAATGCCCCCCCCACACATATTTACACCAGGTATCTGCTGCAGAAGCCAGCAGACATTTCAGACTCTTGATAAACTTCTTAGGCATTTTTGTACATGATTCTGTAGTTTCTCAATTTTTGAAATACACCATATACTGTGCTTTCCCGCAGTTCCTATCGTACAGTATGCAGTGTGCACTAGGTAGGGTAGCGTTTCTAGACATACAGCCACTACAGATTTTATAATAAAAAAAAAATATATATATATATATATATTATTTATTTATTTCTTTTTTGGACATATGTGCGAGTGCTCGTAAATCACATAGGTGGTGAGTTGGGGACAGTCTGTAGCTCTTAACTGAAACTTTATTTGGCTCATGAGCTGACGATTTGCCCCCGGAGGAATAGTATTAACAGCGGCCATCTTGCTTTCCCAGGAGAGACATGGAGGAGCTGAAGGCGGACCTGAAGGACGAGAGGAGCAAACGTGTGGCCCTGCAGGTAAGACGGCCCCCACCACCCCCAAACATCACCCGACTTCTGTGCCTGGCTGAAAGGAGCAGGAAATGTGGAGAAGCAGCTTGACAGTCGCTTCCACCGGATCCCTACACTCCCTGAAGGTACTTTCTGTTCTTCGGCAGGGGGAGGTACAGGCCTTGAAGAAAACTGTCAACCAGCACTGAAGCTGGATGAGTGCCTTCATCCAGTGAAACTTCACAGGGACTTAATGGTCTAACAGAGCAACCCTGCTGCCTGGTTTGGGCAAACCATAGTTGAGACTGCAAGTGACTGTTAAACACTTTTCCTGTGGCTATAGAACTTTTTTCATTTTGTAGTAGTTTAGCTGAATTTTATGCACAATGTACTGTTCAGATTTACTAGAGATGGTATGAATGGGGGTGACTGATCAGTTGGGAAAAACTATTCTGCATGTCCTTATGGCATGAGAATGTGTTTTTAAGCAAACTTCAGTGTAAATATTCACAAAAATGGAGGGTTTTGGAAATCATATTTCTAAAAGATTATTTTTAAGACTGACTATATATCAGAAAAAAAGAAGATTCAAAATGAAATATGACTCAAGTGTACCGACCTGTAGGGTATCTGTAGGAACAACCTGAGCCTGAACAAGACTGTGAAGCTTGTTTGTCTGTTTTCTTCTCATTGCATGTATGTCTGCATTCTGTATCACTTGTTTTCGTTGGGTTTTGCCTAGTGCAGTAAATGTCAACGCATTGTGCAAAGCCTTCAGCTTCATCCAACAATAGCAGGAATGTTTTGTGTTGGTTTACTTAGGTGTGAGCACCACTTTAATCTGACCTTTGTTGAAAGTTTAAACGAAAGCGATATATCACTGCCTGCAAGGATTATGAACTAATGAAGGGGGATTTTTTGGTGTGTGCAACAAAAAATAGTTTTCATTGCTTGGGTGCTTTTTCAATACAACAGGTGTAGATATTAAAGGTTCTTACAGAACTTACTACATAATACAAATACTACTACTAATGACTGTGTTCAGGTTCACTAGCTGGGACTCACCTGAGTGAGCAGGGGGTTGTTCTGGCATCAGAGGGTATCGGAGGTTGAGCCTGGGGCTCTTCATTAATGAATGATAATTAGTATTACGAAATAAAATCTGCTGAGGAAGTCATGACGTGGTGTTTTTCAGATGATTGCTGTGAATTTCTGGGTGATTCCATTTTTGATGAAAAACGTCACATATCGTGACGCGCTGAAGGTGATTGTATTAACAGGAAGTCTATATGCCCGCCCCCGGCGAAGCCCATGCCTGTATCGTTTCCGGCATTTGTTGACACCGCAGCCGTTAAGGTTTCACTACTGAAGAGGGATTGAAAGTCTAGGGAACTGAAGGGAGGACCTCCAGGTTGAGTTTGTGCAGGGGTCTCCAACTCCGGTCCTGGAGAGCTATTAACCAGTAGGTTTTCTATCCTACCTGGCTTCTGATGAGCCGCACTAGTTCTCAGGTAAATACCAGGAGCAGCTGTGGCTCATCAGAAGCCAGGTAGGATAGAAAACTTACTGGATAGTAGCTGGATAGGTGACCCCTGAGTTAGTGACTGATTTAGTCTCGAGCAGCAGGCCCTAAGAACAGCTCCACCAAAGCAATCAAGGCCACCTGACATTCAGCTCACCGCACAGCCTGGAGGTCCCCAGAGCCCCAGCCAAGTCTGGGGATTTGAAGCTTGTAAGATAGACTCTGGATATCAGAGCTGGGCTTTTCTATTTAACCCTGTGAATCGGATTGAACCTTATCACCAGATGAAGAAACAGGAAACAAATTTCAAGTATATAGGCCACAAAATAGGGTTTCCTTTGTTTGTTACAGTTTGAAAGATGGAGTTTCAAAAACCACTGACAGCATTACAAACTAAACCATAAATGATCTCTCTAATGCACAGATGACCATAAACGACCACTAATACATACATTTCCTCTCAATATCATACTGTAAGAAACTACTGAATAAAACCTGTACACTATATATTTTTGAGGACGGAAGTTGTTTAATCTGTTAAACAGCTAGAGTTTATCTTACAGGGTTGTTTTGCATAAATACTTTTATTTACTGTACTTATTTCTGTGATTAGTGTTCATGTTCATTAACACCAACAAGGGTGATAACTGAAGTTTATTGGTCCTGCATGAAATTAGTTTAGAACTTAGTAAAAAGAGTATCTGCTTATACTGAAGTGATTAGCTGGATTCACGTTGATTGGTGTTGCCTCTGAATGTCGCACACAATCTGATGGCCTACTCAGTACTCTGTGGGGGGGCTGAGGTAGAGTGTGAGTAGTTGGATGCATCTCGGAAGGGCAGAGGATACACATAGGCATACTACACTGCCTGGCCAAAGAGAAATTTGCCTTTTGAATATTTTGTTGGACTGTGTTTAGCTTTGATTATGGTACGCATTTGTCATGGCATCATTTTCACAAGCGTATACAAACATATCTCAACATTGATTTTCGTCCAGATTTGCATTCATTTCTAACAGATGACAGGAGCTGAAGCACTCTGTAAAGTCTTCTTCAGCAAATCCCAAAGACTTTCAGTGGGGTTAAGTTCAAGACTCCGGTGGCCAAATCGTGTGCGAAAATGATGCCTCATGCTCCCTGAAGCACTCTTTGACAATTCGAACCCAATGAATCTTGGCATTCTTGTCCTGGAACATGCCCATACCAATAGGGAATAAAAAAATCCATTTATGATGGATGGAGGTGTAACCTTGGCCATTCAGTAGATTCAGTTACTCAGCTGACTTTACTTTATTGCTGCATAACGTTTGCTGAGCTGTAATACTGTAACTATCCAATCATTAGCTTTTAGGTATTTGCTGATTTAATTTAAATTTTTGTTTTGTTTTTGGCCAGGCAGTGTAACATTGCAGGTGAATGGGAACTGGGACCTGCAATTCACCGTATGTCCATTTGGGGGGGATGTTTAGCTGTTCTCACAGTTCTGTCAATCTCTGCACCTTCTAAGTTTACCCTACCCAGTATAGGGTAGCGGAGGCCTGGAGCTTATCCCCGCCACTATGTGGCTCAAGGCAAGGGGTACATGCTGGTAAGGATGCCAGTCCATCACCGGGCACAAAAGAAACAATTTAGAGACACCAGTCCGTATCTGGACTTCAGGGAGAAACCGGGAGGACCTGGAGGACAGGGGGAGGAAATGCAAACTGCACACACAGAGCAGAGACAAGATTCGAATGGCCCAACCCTGGAGTTGTGCACCGCTGCACCATGTCACCCAGCTCCGTGCTTGTGCAAAGAGTCTTTCCTGAGCTGCATTCTAGGCATATGAGTCATGCAAGGCATTAAGACCAAACTATATGTGCGAGTCCAAATTAGTCAGACTGTTTTGACTCTTTCTGAAGCCGGTTATCTGCCCCTAAAAACATCTCTCTTAAAACACCTACTTACCAGTGGAAGTGGACAGGGCGTGTTTCAGACAAGGGCGTGGCGCCGGTCGGGGTGAAAATGGCAGAAGTCACTTCCATGGGTGAGAACGGGACACCGGCAGCCCCAGGAGAAGCCTGTGCAGGACTGATTCGGCGAGTTGGCTTTGGTCTGCTGTCAACGCCCAGCTCAGGAAGGAAACCATTTATACCGCCCTCAGGTGGAATTAATTATACTGAAAAGGGAAACCTGGGCTACAGAAAGTATACAAGAGCTTGTCAGACTTAACATACACACCGAAACTGGAATAAGCATGAAACAGCTTTATGAGTTACGTTTAAGAGAGGAAGCAATATGTTAACATTGTGAAAGCAGTATTTAAAATGGACTGAACTACAGTAGCTGGAGTTATTACGGCAGAAGCCTATTTGAGTATGATCCATAACCTTTTTGTTAGAGTAAATAACGTGAGCCAGAAATACTGGGTCTCAGTTTTAGATTCTACAGGATGGGAGTGCCGGCTGGGGACACAGATCTGGCATCGCCTGTAAGGCCTGGTGAGGGGGCGGGGTCTTTCTGGGGAACATCTGGGGCCTATTACAGCTGCAGGGCTTCTGAAAACATGGGAACGGACTATTTTTAAAAACTGCGCTTGGCTGAATAGAGCGGACGTTCACAGGCACACAATTCTTTTTCTGGGGGGTGGGGGAGCAAACAAAGTAAAACTATATAAGTCCTTATAAGTGGGCCCAAGAATTTCATATTTTTTTCCTGCGAGTACGTTCCCTGTAATTTCTTGGGTGCTTGTATTACCTGGCGGTCAGCTGAGGAAGCCGATGACCTTTGGGGTGACGTGAAGGTTGACAGGATATGGCGCAGCCATGGTGTGGGGTTGTGGTCAGGTAGCGAATTTTACAGCTCACAAAAGAGGGCAGTGAACTGTTAAATGCTCCCCTTCTGCACCCCTTACAGCTGGTTTTTAAGCCCTTACTCGTACCCCAGACAGGCCACAGAATAAGTAAGCTTTTCAAGTAGCCGAACACAAATCCGTTTTGAAGGGACCACAGTGGCGTCGCTGTACGGCGAGAGACGAAGGCATGCAGAGGGCCGAAATGGCGAGGAAGGAAAGAGTCCAGAGTAACGGGCGGCTAGGGGCAAAGGGCACTGTTCCACAGGAAAATCAGATATTTTCTAAAATTAGATGCGTCTTCCTCCAAGGAAGGGAAACAGAAGCAGGATCTGTCCTGAGGAGAAACTGAGATTGCGAAGACAGACATCCACAGAGAGCTCAGCCATAATGGTAAATTGACTGATGAACTGGTTAGTGTATTGGTGCAGCCTCTTGGGGCAGCGGTTAGCACTGTGGCCACACACATCTGGGACCGGGGTTCCATGTGTGTCGAGTTTGCATGTTCTCCCAGGAACATGCTGAAGTTTACTGGAGTTACCAAATTACCTGTAGGTGTGTGTATGAGTGTGATGGGTTGGAACCCCTCCTGGACTGTTCCCTGCCTTGCACCCATAAGCTCTGAATCCCTGTGATCCTGAACAGGACAGGTGCTTACAGAAAATGGACAGATTTGTGAGTGTACTAGGCTAGTCAGTAAGCCAGCATCAAAAACACTGGTTGACTATAGGTGCATCACACACAGAGAACTTACCAGAAGGTGATGTTATGTCATGATCCAGAAGCAGCTCTGAGGAGCTGAGGTGCTGGCAGTAGGTGTTGCTGGGGAACCGCCATCCTGGTGGATTCGCAGGACAAGATGAAAGCTGGTTCTGCCAACACACCCTCACCCACTAGGCAAGAAAACACCGCTGGTCCTCTCCATACCTCACTACAGTCATCCTGTGTTACCACGTAACATTCACACAAAGACCCATCTATCCCTCCTCCAAGTGAGGGTCGGAAAAGGGGCCTGAAGCCATGAATCACGATCTCCAAATTGACCTTTCCTATAATATACTGCAGATGCTGTTCTTCCACACTGTCAGACAGGGATTGCTTACAGACCATAACCTTGATACTTTATTAAGACACAGACACACGTATAATTAATTATATGCTTTTATTCATGATTTATATAAAAACCTATTTGAATAGAGCATACATATCCTAATAATTATATATTTACATTTCTTGATGGTAAATTGTACATTTTATGGTACATGTTCACATAAATAACCTTTGGCAGTTGATGCTGTCATTTCGACAGAAATGTTCAGATTTGGGCTTAATTTCCACAGCCGGATTCCCCGTCTCTTGAAAAATGCTGGTTCGAAGTGAAATGTTAAATACGGTCCTTCATTCAGGATCAAACGACATGGCGCATGTCTCGGGAGGTTAAAAGTCCATGATTATCTCAGCCTTATGATGGATGCTGTCTCATGCCCAGAGCATTAGGAGTGTCCGAGGTTCTTTTGAAAAGTGAGGAAAAATGTGATTCGGTATTGCAGACCGTACGATCAAAATATGTTGGGAGAAATATCTTGATGATATATATCTAAGCAGAACAGCATTTATTTACAAAGGTCCTATAGTTATACAAGAAACAAACATGACAATACAGAACACAATCCCTCTTTGAGTTCTGAAATTAGGCTTCGTTTCATGGAAAAGTGTGACTCAGTTATTCAGAGGGCTCCAGCCTGCACACTGCATGGCCATTTAAGGTTCCAAATTATAAATTGGTCCACATACTTCTTGGATTGAGAACAGGCTTTGTTTGTGAACCAGCGTTTTTTCCATCAAAACTTCCAGTTGTGTACGTCACTGTGGGTTCAAGACACATACCAGATATCACAGCACCCAATGCTGGCAATTAATAACACAAAAGAGGTGATATTTCTGTCATTCTAACCTGTTGCCCTCTTTTACCCTTCATAGTCACTTGAGTTCCAGGACTCATTGTCTCAGACCACATTGTCCAGGCTTCTTTACTATAACTCTGAATGACATCAAGCTGGAATGAACTTATCACAGTCAAGAAGGTTCCCAGAATTCCTGCGTGGAAAATAAAATTAAAATATAATGCTATCAGCTAAATGGAATGTAAAAAGATATTAGAATGAAGGCTTTGGATATTTGCTCAGAGAAAAAATTAAGCAGTTGTGAACTAACCTTATGGGAACTGTTTTGCACACAACCAAACTAACGCTCTTCTGGTAATTACATGTTGCAGAAATATCCTTTTGTTGCCCTTGAAGGATGTGGCACCATACTGGCATACTGGTGTTTTCCTGAAAACCATTGCGTTTACACAGAGGCCACAAAGGTATCTACTTATAGTGTCTGGCTTGGATAATGTTTTCTCTTTCGCAGATGCGCCAAAATAAAGTCCATCCATTTCACTAGTGCCCCAAGGCATTGTGGGTTGTTGCTTTTTTGGAGAAAACATCACAAAGACAATAAGTGTGTGGAATGTGAGTTTGGAAGGGCCATTGTGTCTTTGGGATCTGGTTTGGTGCTCGGCGACTGGGCTGCAAGAACAGAAACGGCCATAAAATCTGTTGCTATTTTTATAAACAAATAATACGATTTGTATCTGCATGGCAGTTTTCTGAGAGATGTGGGACATTAGCAGAGCCTGGAGTTTGATGATGTACTCAGAAGCTCAGACAGTTTGCGCATTGCTGAAAATAGAATCAAAGAACAAAACAGAAAAAATAACATTTTTTTTCTACATACAACTGTAACTAATATTTTCTTTTGGACTCCAATATGCAACGGCTTCAAATGATCATACCCAGCGTAACAGCTAGAGCTGAACTTCTCAGTAACTTTCCATATTGGTGACCTTACTTCATGTCATCGACTGAAAAGTAAAACTGAAAGACATTTTTGCATCCTGACACTAATGTTTCAGGATGCAACGTGTGTATGACAAGTTCCGTGGCCACTGTTAGCACTGTTACCACTAAAGAACAAAGTACACATATGTGCATCAAATATACTTCCTATCTCACAACTGGGCATTATGAGGAAATATCCCTTTTAGTAAAAACATAGAATTGCATTCCTGGGCCAGATACATCCAAGCCAATCACACCACAATCCTTATCATCCATGCTTGAAGTAACCCTTCATTCACTAAAATCCATGGCAGCCACAGAACATCTTCAGATGAGTTCTAAGGAACTCTGTGCTTGTGAATCTGTGGATGGTTTGTGGATCTATATAGACGCGCTCGATGCACGTGGGACCTTGAAGATTAGGGGAAGCCCAATAGCACCATAGTTTGCAAGTTCAACTTCCGGGTCAGAAAAATGTTCCAGAGTCTGTGTGGTGGAGATGTTTGACTAGCACCATCTGACCAGCACCTCACCCACACTTAGGTGGGCTGTTGTGGGGAGGTTTCACCAGGCACACAGACCGTTTTTTGGTGTCAAAGCCTTGGGGGGCTATGGGTCAGTAGTAGTGTACCCGGCCGATGGTGCCCGTTCCTGTGCCCAAGATGTCAGGCTGCCCATTTCTCCAGATCTCACGGATGATCCGCTCACGTTCCTCAAGCCTCTGTGCCCTCTCCAACTCCTCTGCCGATGTGAAGACGTTGACGCTGAGAGCTCCGTCTGGCTGGCTGTGGTTGCCCACCGGCAGTTCGGGGGTGGTCGTGGTGGTGGTGGCAGTGGCGGGGGAAATGGCCACAGGGGTATGCACATTGAGGTGGTCCTCCTCTTCTTCCTCCTCCTCATCCTCACTGCCATCGTCGTCATCCTCGCTGAAATCCTTCAGGCTCTTTTTCTCAGACAGGGGAGGTCCCATCTTGATGCGGGACTTGCAGGAGATACGGATTACCAGGAGGCAGAGGGTCAGAACCAGGCCGAAACACACGCCGATCACGAAGTACAGGCCGAAGCTTTCGGGATTGGCTAAACAGGAACACACAAAACATTCGATTAATCCAATCAAATCAGCATATTCTGAGACCCAAGTCTCATACCTTTCATTGCAAAAAGTAATTTTAAGATTTGGAAATAAAGTATTTTACAGTGATGATCATCAACCATGAACTTGAAGATTCAGTACCTGGTTATATTTTCAAACTACTCATAAGTACTTGTTTTTACACAGACTGTAAAACTGTGTAGAAAATAGGAAAGAAGCATATAAAATAAATTATTTCAAACTATATAATTGAAATTATTTCTGCCAGGCTTTTTTACTATCAATAAGCAGGGATTCATCTTGTTGGCTACTTGCTGTGGGAACTGAGAGCTACAAGCTCACCCTGAAATCTACATTAGAAACAAATCCATGCAGTTTAATGGTGGAGCTGAATGACCTTCCTCTTGGAGTAAAGTCAAGTAATTCCGTTAAGAGCCAGAGTTAATATCAAGCTGCTGGCTTCACCTTTAATGTGGGCGTAGGCAGCTATGCTGTTGCTGAGAAGATGCATCTCCTTTGTCTTCACGTCCATCCTGGGTCCTGGGATCAGGGGTCAAGTTCTCACGGCTGCAAGGCAGACAGACTGTAAACAGCACGGCATGGCAGGGGGGTGCCTTACAGCTGAAGTGGCCCCCAAGCGAGCTGGACATGGGATCAGTCCAGCCAGCTGTCAGATCAGTGCAACGTTGCTGGATGCTGGATGTACATTTACAATGAAACTCATCTCAGTATGTCACCACCTCAAACCAAACTCTCCAGGATGTGGTTCACGCAAGCGCACCCCCCCCCCCCCCCACCCCCGAATAACACAGACAGACAGGAACACAGGCTCCGGGCCGCTGTTCCCCTGCCAGATTGTCCTGTAACTATGCCTGTTGACGGAGGGTGACCAAGTCAGGGACAGGTGACGTTGGGGGGGGTGGCGGACACAACAGTGGCTGGAGTCCACACCATGGACATCTGTCTGCGCTCCACTGCTGCGGTGGGCGTTGTAGCCTGACTATGACACACAC